TTGTGGGCCCGATCCCCAGAGAGGGGCACACAGGAGGTGGCCAATCAATGTTCTCTCTCATCCATGTTTCTATCTCTCTCCCTCTCTAAAATCAATAAAGGAAAAAAAAATTTTTTTAAAAAGAATATTCCTTAGCCCTGGCCGGTTTGGCTCAGCGGTTGGAGCGTTGGCCCGTGGACCAGAGAGAGAGTCCCGGTTTTGGTTCCCATTAGGGGCACGTACCAATAAATAAATAAATAAATAAATAAATAAATAGTAGTAGAATCCATGTGCCATCAAGTTTAAAAAATATATATATTCCTTTAAAAAAAAAAACAAATGCTATTATTGGGACAAATTGACAAACTGGAATAGAATCTATAGATTAGATAAAGGTTTCATATTATCAATGTTAAATTTAAATCTCCTGAGTTTAGTAACTGTACTATAATAATGCAAATGAATACAATACACAGTGAATAGTTAGAGATGAATTGGCAGAAAAGAGAAAGAGAAAGCAAATGTGACAAATGTAAAAAAACTGGTAATTGAGTATAGGGTATTTAAGAGTTCTCAATACTACTTTATACTTTTCTGTACATTTGAAATTATATCAAAACAAAAAATTTAAATAAAGGCAAACTGGGATATGAAAAGATGGTGAAAGTGAGTGATTTATTCTTATGTCCTATAGTACATACCAGTAAGGGAAATGACTACAACAGTAACTCAGACTGGCACATTGCTAGCTCCATACAGAATTTCTTCAACTTTTGATTCTCTGAAAAAATATACTTTTCAAGAAACCACATAAAACACTAGGCTGCTGATCCTGTATTCTCTGCACAAAAATCTGCAATTTTACATTAACACAGTACAAGCTGAGGGACTCCTCCTTCCTCCAGCAAACCATAAGCTCCTCATAGGCAGGCCAAAAGGTCCTGCCCTTTGTTTTAACTCAAGCATTGACACAGTGTCTGAAATATAACACTCATATTTGTTGAATAAATGCTGGTATAAGTTATTTTAAATACATTTCTAAACAAGAACATTTTCAAAACTCACAAAAAGCAGGGAACATTATTAATACCCACATACCTACTACCCCAATCCAACAATTATCAAGATTATGCCACACTTGCTTCATTTAGCTCATCTTCCCCCCCTCTTTTTTTTTTTTTTTGCTCAAAAGTATTTTTAAACAAATACCAGACATCTTATTTCTCTTCCTCATTCTTCAGTCTCCAACTCTAAAAAATATGGGCATATTCTTATATAAACATAATGCCATTATCATCCCTAACAAAATGAATAATAAATCCTTGATATCATCTAATACTCATCCCCATTCAAGTTTCTCCCAAAGTGTTTTAAAAATTCCTTTATTGGTTTGAGTTAGGATTTAAACAAGATCAACACAGTACATTTGGTTGCTACACTTAAAATATTTTTAACCTGTCTTTTTAAATTATCTATCAGCAATTATGAAAAAGCCTAACAAACCAGTTTTCACTTGTCGATTCTCCAGAATCAAACCCAATTTAATGCATTTACTGTTCCCTGTCTGTAGCATTCTTCCTCCAGATTGTCACTAAGGCTGATTCTTTCCAGTCATTGATCGCAAATCAAATATTACCTTTAAAAAGGCCCTCTCTAACCACTCAATCCATACTAGAACTCCATTCCCATTCATTCTCCATTACATGGTCCTATTTTCTTTATGTCACTCAAGACTACCTAAAACTACTCTGTTTATTAGCTGTTTCCCTCTGTAGAATATCCACTCCTTGAGGACAGAGTACCTTCTTCACTATAGACTAAGAACAATGCCAAGAACATGAAACATTCAACATATACTTACCAAGTGACTAAATAATGCAATACCTCTATTTAAAATGTAAGCTAAGCCAACTGGTGTGGCTCAGTGGACTGAGCATTGTCCCATGGACTGAGAGGTCCTGGTTCGATTCCAGGTCAGGGCACATGCCCAGGTTGTGGGCTCAATCCCCAGGAGGGAGTGCGCAGAAGGCAGCCGATCAATGTTTCTCTCTCACATCAATGTTTCTGTCTGTCTCTCCATCTCTCTCTCTAAAAAAAAATCAATAGAAACATTTTTTTTTTTTTTGCAGATAGAGTGGGAGAGAGAGAGAGAGAGAGAGAAACATCGATGCGAAAGGAACACGTCGAGTGGCTGCCACCCGCACAACTCAACAAGGGCCGGAGACAAACTGCAACCAAGGCATGTGCCCTTAGCGGGAATCGAACCCGGGTCTCTCTGGACCGCAGGCTGCTGCTCTAGCCACTGAGCAAAACTGGCCAGGGCAATAAAAACATATTTAAAAATAAATAAATAAAAAATAAAATATAAGCTCAGTAATTTGTTTTTCAATATTTGTTGCTCACTCCTCATGTAATGGTTTAAATCGAGTATCTGTAGAAACCTGGGCCAGCTGTTACCAAGAATCTGTGGCATACAGGAAAGAAAGAACAGAGGTATATGACATTTCAATGTAATTCTGGACTTTTTTTGCATTTATCTTCAGATAGAGTGGGAGGGGGAGGGAGAGAGAGAGAACCATCCACACGAGAGAGACACATCAAGTGGTTGCCACCCACACGACCCCAACTGGGGCTGGGGCAAACTGCTACAGAGGCATGTGCCCTTAGTGGGAACCGAACCCAGGACTCTCTGGTCCGTAAGCCAAAGCTCTAACCGGCCTGGGCTAATTCTGGACTTTTACTGAACAGTGATCATAGGTTCCTGAAAGAAAAATTATTCAGGATGATTTAAAGAGCATTACCAGGAATAAAACAAAGTTTCATTTTTCAGTATCATATGAGAGCTAGTAAATCATGAGAAATAGCTACAATGGGACAGAAGCATTACCTGGAACAATAACCATGGCTTTATCATAGTTTTTTTCCTAATATAGAGTATGTATCATGAAGGAATTCGGTCTCAGTATAGCATTTCTTTCTGGGGATTGGATCATAATGAATGCAACAATGAATACCAAAAACACCTAAGTAAAAATACAAACCATTACATTTGGGACCTAGAGAAAATTAGAGTTATCTATCCCATACTTCTCATTTAATAGTTGAGAGAGAGCTGAAGCCCAGGGTGGTTAACAATAAAGTCACAGATCTAGTGAACAGCAAAGCCAAATCTTAAATCTCGATCTCTTATCTCTAGCCCTATAAGTTAATGTTCACACACAGAATGTTAATGTCAAATGATAACATATTTTAATTACTATCATTTTTAGTACTGTCATTTTTTCCCCTAATTGAAGTCCTAGCCCATAGGGGGAAATGTCAAAACAGGGGGACATATAATTATTCTCTAAGTAAAGCATGTTACAGAAATCCTTTTTTTGACAAAATAATAAAGGAAACATCTAAAAAATCTAACTAATTTGATTCAGTAAATTGTTTTTATTTTTATCCTCACCTGAGGACATTTTTCAACTATTCTTCAGATAGAGAGGGAGGGAGAGAGAAACATCGATGTGAGAGAAACACATAGACCAGATCTGGGGATGAACTGCAACCGAGGTACATGTCCTTGACCAGAATCAAACCCGCGACTCTTTGGTCCGAGGGCCAATGCTCTAACCACCGAGCCAAACCGGCCAGGGCTGATTCAATGAGTTTTTTACTTCACATTTTACATTTTATATTAAAACTATTTAGAAATATCTACTGACTATTCCTTGCTTTAGACATGTAAATTGCTGGTCTCTTATTTTAAACACCTGTATAGCTCTTTTTCAATTACCTGTGGAAATAAAGTACTGAAGCGAAATCTGTCAAGATGTAAGCTCCACCAAAATGAAATTTTGATTATATCTTTCTTCAAAAGCCAACTCTAGTTAAAGAGCTAACTGCAAGTGACCAACAAGAAACCAAACGAAATGAAAAAAGTGATAGAAGAATCCACACACGTAAGATATAGCACCCAGAGGGAGAGACTCTACTCTTTCTAGTTTTCCATACAATACTGTTCAGACCAATTCATAAATACCCTTACTAGTTCTTAGAAAATTACTCTGAATCTCAGGCGGTAAAAAAGCAGGAGAGAGAAATCATCTGTCCAAGGTTAAAGGACAAGAGGATAGACTAAATTAACATAATTCAAGGCTTAAAAAAAAAGTTTAAGATTCTTTTTAGAGTAAAAAGTCTTCTTTCTCATCCTATCTGTTTTGTCTAACAAACACAACCAAAGACTATTGTTAAATATGAAAAACGTGGTTTATAATGAGAGGAAAATTTTTAGAAAACATGTACAGTAACAAACTATCAAAATGTAGCTCTTCACCCTAATAAAGCTAAGTAAAACCAGTATTAAATAACTTCTATGTAATAATGAAATTACCTTCTAACCTTTGAAAGCAATGACAAACAAAAATGGGAAAGGAAATGGAACTTAAGCTTTTATTTAACCTAGTCTGTTCTTTTTGGTTCAAGAGGTCCACAAACAATAAAATTAAACATAAACTACCAAATGAAATAGTTTGGATTGACAGGTCCAAAAACTGTAAGAGCTATAAAAGTCTATGTCAGCTGGCATCTTACCACTCCAGAGTCCTAAATTCATACTGCATATAAATCAAGAAACAGGAAAGCAAGCATACAATATATTGGAGTCACTCCACACTAGGAACATGAACAAATTAAATGAATACCCTACACTTCCTGGTACTTTTTAAAACGTCAGAACTTAGACTTGCGTTAAAAAGTATCTGTAAAGATTTACTATAATCTACTTAATAACTATTGTGAAAAACCTCTGCTTCTGCAGTATAGAACAGCTATTTCCACCACAGCACTGCCACTGACAAATTATCTAGACAATAAAAATATCAACCTTCTTTTTTAATGACCAAGCCAACGCTATACAAAATCTGACGCGTCTTATTTCTGCTGTTCCGCAGACGACGTTTCCTTGATCACAGAAGGAGGCAACTCCCCAACCGTCAGGGCTGACTTAGCGCCGTCCAACACCCCGGGTGCGTTACCTTCATCACTCCATTGTCAAATCGCACTCCCACGCCTCGGTCCTCAGCCCCCATCCTAAGACTCCAGGGAGAATTAAAAAAGAAATCCCCTCACCCACACTCCCTTCTGTGTGGGGTGTGGAGTGTAGAGTGTGGGTGTGTCAGGCGAATGCTTTGCTCCAACAAATCTGCGGAGACCCAGACCCGAAGTCACGACGCAACCAGCAACAACCCGCCGGTCGCCGACCCCAGCCTTCCGCGGCCGCAGCCCTTCCTCTTTCTCCCCTCCAGGCCGGCCCCTCCCCCGTTGCGCGCACGCGCGGCCTCCAATCGATCCCCTCCCCCCTAGCCCCCTCACCTTAATCATTAGCCACCGTCTTCCTAGGGTCCTGGAATCACTGGCCCAGTACGGAAGACAGGAGATATAAGGGTGGAAGAGGATGTGTCGAGAGCCAGTGATCTGCGATTCAGATCTCGGCCTAATAGGCCCCTATAGTCAAGAGCAGCGTCTGTCACCGCCACCAAAGCTGTACGAGCGGCAGCGTCTGGTTCGGCCCAGCTCACCCGGTTTGGCTTCAGAATGCCTAATTTGGCCCCACAGGAACTCCTTCCCAGAAGCTGTGGGCGTTTCTATGCCGCGCAGACCTAACACCTCGCCGCCACCGCCGCCGCCACTGCTGCTGTTCTACCGCAGCTACCGCTGCTGCCGCCGCCGCCGCCGCCGCCTTACCAATCCCTCCTCTACCAAGCGAGCACGACAATCTGCGGCTTTACGACAGTTCGGAAAGTGAGAGCGCTGTAGCCTTCACGCCTCCATTAACATCTGTTTGTTTCTGCGCTTGCTCAGATTCTTGTTTCTCACTGTCCCGCCCCTTCTTTCCCGGCCCTCCCCTTTGTACTCGCTTTATCAGTCTGTCCGTGAAGCCAGACGGTGTCAGGAAGCTCACTCTTTGCAGTATTTCATTTTCCTTGGTGCTTGTTCGTCTAATATTTAAGCAAAATACTGACTACATCTTAGTTAATTTTTTGTAACTAAAAATTACAACCAACCATGGAATTATTGACCATATTTACGGTACAATTAAAAAATATCATGGTTTAGTGTTTCTCAAAATAAATGATACCCAGGTTACACTCGCTAGTGACAAAGATCGTGGCACTTCACTATTAAGACGAACTCGCTTCCAGAATCAGATATAAAATGGTCATAGATATCCTGGGAACTGGCTGCACAATCACACACGCCTTCATAATTATTTTATAAAAATCAGTAGATAGCAAGTGCTTCATTATGTGCATTAGGAGGACGTAGGCTTCAGAATCAGAAAAACTTCTTTTCAAATCTCAGTGATGCCAACTAGTGTCTGATGTATTAGGCCTTTATAAATCTGTTTCAAATAAATTAATTAAATAAATAAATAAAATATCGATTATACCTCGATTTTAAAAATAAAATCAAAGCATATCTAAAAAAAAAAAATTAGTTTCTTTCCCTATAAACAGACATGACATTATTTACCTCAAAGGGTTCTTGTGAGATTAAATAAAAGTTTATATAATGCTTCAAACGTTATTTACCAATTAAGTGTTCAATAAACATTAATCCCCTCCCTTTGTCAACAACTTTTTCTCAATTCCCTTTCTTTTGTTCACTCATATTCTCCATTTTGTTCAGTGAAAAAAATATTTCACTAGAAACTGAAAGAGCATTGGACTAGGATTTTTCCTCAATCCTCTTTTCTCTAAATATAAAATTCTGGCCTGGAGACAACAATGCTTGGGGGTGGCGGGTATAAGGAGGAGGGTATCTGTTGGCGGGGGTACATCTATAACAAAAATTAATTAATGGAAAAATAAATAAAGTGCCCTGGCCATTTGGCACAGCAGTTGGAGCATCAGCCCACGTACTGGAGAGTCCAGGGTTCAGTTCCCACTAAGTGCACGTACCTCGGTTGCAGTTTGCCCCTGCCCCGGTTGGGGTTGTGTGGGTGGTAGGCAGTCGATGTATCTCTCTCATGTCTTTCTTTTTTTCTCTTTCTCTCTTCCCCCCTCTCTCCCTCCTGCTCTATCTGAAGATAAATGCAAAAGTGTCCTCTGGTGAGGATAAAAATAAATAAATAAAGTGAGCAAGCAAAAAAAAAAAAAAAAGTTCTTTAAAACCTAAAAAAATCACACGTATATATAATATATATATATTCTTGCCTGGCTGGTGTGGCTCAGTGCTTGAGCGTGTGGACCCATGCACCAAGAGGTCACCAGTACAATTCTCAGTCAGGGCACGTGCCCAAGTTGTGGGCCTGATCCCCAGTTGGGGGCAATGCAGGAGGCAGCCAATCCATATTCTCTCTTACTGATGTCTCATCTCTCTCTTCCTCTCCCTTCCTCTTTCAGAAGTCAATAAAAAAAATTTTTTAAAATAAATAAATAAATAAAATTCTGTCTGGACTATCTTATCTACTACCATGGATTTAACTATTATGTACTCGTAATTTCTCAAAGTTGTGTATTTCCAGATCTATATTTTCTGTTTCCAGACCTAATCTTTTTTCAAAAGCTCTTGACCTTTCTCCTCAATAAGGTAGGCACTAACTACATGTAACTGTTGAGCACTTGAAATGTAGCTAGTACAGCCTGGCTGGTATGGCCCAGTGGTTGAGTGTCGACCCATGCACCAAGAAGTTGCTGGTTCTATTCCCAGTCAGGGCACATGCCCAGGTTGTGGGCCCTATCCCTAGTGGGGGGCATGCAGGAGTTGGCCAATCAATGTTCTCTCTCATTGATGTTTCTCTCTCTCCTTCTTCCTTCCTCCCTAAAATCAATAAAGAAAAATATATTTTTTTAATTAAATAAAACTTTTTAAAAATGTATCTAGTACAGCCCTGGCCCGTTTGGCTTAGTGGTTGGAGCATTGGCCTGCGGACCAGAGAGTCCTGGGTTTGGTACCCACTAGGGGCATATACCAAAAAAAAAAAAAAAAATGTAGCTAGTACAAATTGAAAAATGCTGTAAGTAAAGTGCTGGATGGTGTGGCTCAGTTAGTTAAGCATCATGCATGCACCAAAAGTTTAACCTGCTGGTTCGATTCTGGTCAGGGCACATGCCCAGGTTTCGGCTTGATCCTTAGTGGGGGGCATACAGAAGGCAGTCCATTGACGTATCTCTCTCTCTCCCTCTCCCTTCCGATCTCTCTAGAAAAATCAATTAAAAATATTAGAAGAAAAATGCTGTAAGTGAAAAATATACACTCAAGTTCAAAGATACAATAAAAAAACATTGTAAAAAATATCAATAATTTTTAATATTGATTATATGTGAAAATAATATCTTAGATATATTGGGTTAAATCAGTGGTTCTCAAGCGGGGATGATTTTACTCCCCCACCTCCACCCCAGCCTCAGGGCATTCAGCAATATCTGAAGACTTTTGGTTGTTATAATGTGGGTCAGGGTGTGTATAGCTACTGGCATTTACTAACAGAGACCAGTGACGCTACTAAACATCCTACAATGCACAGAATAGCCCTCCACAACAAAGTATTGCCAGGCCCAAAATGTTAATAGTACAGTTGAGAAACCCCAGGGTTAAATAAAATATACTATTAAAATTAATGTCAACTATTTCTTTTACTTTTTAAAATATGGCTATTAAAAATTGCATTGGTAGCTCACACTATATCTCTAGTGGACAGTGCTAACCGATCTAGACCTATATGGCTAAGTGTTCTGAATATGTCATTTACCACTTTAATTTCCCAGAGGCACTTCTTAACACATCATAAATAAATACATAATTAATTAATTAATTAATTAATGTAGGTTTATTGTATTGACACCTGATCCATCTCAGTCTTTCCTGCTTCAGTCAATAAGCTATGTTACCTAAGCAGAAATCTAAAGGTCATCTTTGACTACTCCCTCTCCCTCACTCTCCACCTCTCTAATCAATCTATAAGTCCTTCATTTCTATCTCTGAAATATCTCAAGTATCTTTAGTATTCATTTGTTTAACAAATACTTATCAAGTAGTTATAATGTGCTTAATGTTGTTCTGGTATGAGTACTAAATACATAATCACTGCCTTACTGGCAATGTTTTATGAGATGCAGAAAGCAAATTCATTATTTACACTATAATGTGGAAGGGATAGGATGGTGTACTAGTGTGCTAAGAGCACAAAGATGGAATACCATACTCAAGCCAAGACTAGGTGATGTTTAAACTAAATTTAGCAACATTAATAAAGACAGTTAAGCCCTAGCCAATTTGGCTCAGCAGTTAGAGTGTCAGCCCGCAGACTGAAGGGTGGCAGGTTCTATTTCCAGTCAAGGGCACATACCTGGGTTGCAGGTTCAATCCCAGGCCCTTACTGGGGTCGTTCAGGAGGCAACCAATTGATGTGTCTCTCTCACAGGGAAGTTTTTTTTTTTTCTCTCTCTCTCCCTGCCTCCCTCCCACTCTACCTAAAATAAATAAATAAACAAAGAGTTAAATAAAGCAAAAGGAGAGGGCATTCCAGGCAGTAAGATCAGCACATGCTAAGGTACAGAATCCTGTACCTGAAATAGCATGAAGCAAATTCTCTACTGGGAACTACTAAATGTGTCATGTGGGGAAACTATCAAAAGACAAGAAAAGAAAAATAGCTAGAAATAATTAAATAAAGCTATTTTTGCTAGGATAAGGAGTTTGACCTATTTTATACTTAAAATTATGGAAAGCCATTGAAGAAAATCAAGCAGAGGACTAACAATCAGATTTGACTATTGGAGATTCCATTATATAAGCAAAATAGAGGGCGGAATGGAGAGGAGCAAGAGTAGAAGGGTGAAGACCAGCTGGAATGGCGGGTAAAAAGTGAGGAGGGTGGTGGAAATAAGAATGAGAAGAGACAGATTCAAGAGATAAGAAGATTGAATAACTAATTGGATATAGGGGATGTTGGTGACATTCAAGAGAAAAACACATTTTGCAAAACCCAACTTTTGGGGTTGGGACTTTCGGTTGGGACAGCACGAGGGAGGAGGTTGAAAGAAAGGAAATGATTACTTTATTGGGCAAGTTGAATTTGAGGTGTCTAACATTTACCCAAAGTGAAGATTCCAGTAAACTGTTGTATACAAGGGTCTGGAGCGCAGAAGAGAGGTGTGGGCTGAAGGCAGAGAATTAGACTCATTAACTTATATGTGATAGCTGACTCAAAAATTTTGAATGAGCTCAGCCGGTGTGACTCACTGGTTGAGTATCGACCCATGCACCA